CTTTCCTGGAAGTTTCCTAGGAAAGCGGGTGGAGACCTACAATGTCCGTTCTTGCTCCAGAGGCAAAAGGGAGGGGAGGAAGACCAGAGTTGTGAACCAGCGGTGGGTGGGGCTGAGGAGCTTGGGGAGCGGTAGCTGAGAGAGGACTCTGGATGGAGGGGGCTGGAGTCTGGGGAAATTGGGGAAAGGGGAGTTTTCCAAGTGTTCTTGTAGGTCACATATTGGGTATTCTTTAATGCTCTCCAGAGAAGCAAATGAAGATTGGAATTATTTTCAATTACTTTTGGTTTCTGGCTGCATAGGACCCAGATCTTATTTACATATATGCACCAAAACCAAGGCAAACCAAAACAAGACAAAACAAAAACCAAACCAAAACCAAAACCAAAAAACTGAAAAGAAAGAAACCAAAACATTAGAAGTGGTTAACTCTGCATTGATGCGATTATTGGGCATTAACACTTTTATGTAGGTTTTGAATATATTAATGGGGGTGCATTATTGTTTAAAATATATAATATAACATGTATGATATAAGTAGTTTCAATCGAGTGGTCTGGGCAGGCTGAACTGCAAAGGGTTAAGGAGTGAGTGGGGGTGATAAAGTGCAAGAAATATGGTGTGAATAGGAGAGACTTGGTCAAAAACTTAAAGAGGTGGGAAACCCAAGACATTTTTGCAGAGAGGGGGCTTTTAGGATGGTGAGATCTGAATAGTTTAACAAATTAAACAGCAAATACCCTGGGAGGGTATAGGTTTTGGAAACATTTTTGGTAATTTGCATGTCTTGGAGGCAAAGGAAATTTTATGGTTTGGTCTTCAATTAGCTATGAGGTGTTTATCACTTGGTCCAAATTATACTGGATGAGAACTAAGAGTTATTCCTTCAGCTGAGGCTTAACTGGCTCCAGTCTGGCTTTCCAAAAGTCCAAAGGTTAGGGCTGCAGTATTAAGAAAGATAAACTTTAAAGGACTCTGATTTTTAAAGGGGAATGTTGATTCAGGAATGCGAATTGAAATCTGCAAAATCACAGTTAAATTGGATGCAGATTTCTTTGTTAAATTCTGATATTCTCAAAGTTAGAGGAAGGTACATGATGAACAAAATTAGGTATATTTCTTATGAGAGATATTAATGGATTGGATGTGTTATGTCCACAGGTTGAATCTAAGTACACTCAAAAAAAGTTTGCAATAATTCTTAGACAATTGATTAAATAGATGCTAAGGGAAAATAAAGGTTTGAGGAACATCGTCCTCAATCTTCCTGGGTAGGTATCAAAAATGACAGTGATGATAGCATATCCCACGATGCTCTCTTGGAGGAAACATTAGGTAATTCTTAAGTCTTCAAATTCCCAGAGATGACTAATGTGGGGAGTTGGTGAAGCTGATGAATTATTTATTTTGGTCTGTGACAGGTGAAGACATACCTACAATACAGACTTAAATGGGAAAGGACTGTCAGATGGGTACCTATTTATAATTGTCTCAGACTTTCTTTATGAGTCTAGTGTCCATATTTGGAAGAGGTTATAAGACGGGAAAAGTGATGAATGCAGATTGCTGTGGTTATTAATGAAGCGTAATTGGAAAGAGATATTAACTTGTCAAGAAGGTGTAAATGAAAAGACAAAAAGATCAATGCAGCATGAACAGCTAGGATGTGTGTATCAGGGCAAAGGAAGTAGGATGGCAGGGGAGGTAAGTCATGAACAAGAGGATGATAAACCACTACCTTGATGGAGCTGGTGCTCAGAGAGGCACTGGTGAGTTCTGGGGCACAGCTGTCCCACCGTGTGTGAGCACAGGTCATAAATGGGAAAAGAGGAAATACTGGAGAAGAAAGTCATTCAGTGGCCACCATACAGAATGTGTTTGAAGGAATTCAAAACAGGGAAAAAGTATCAAGTTCAAGAAGAAGTTCAGAGGGATGCTAGAATGAGAAACACAGAGAAGGGAGAGGAAACAAACACATATTGAGTGTCTACTACAAAGCAAGCAGAAACTGTTGATGCCTCTACATTAACTCAGACTTTTTAATGTAGTTGCCTCCAACTTCCCTCTCAAAGTGCTAACTAGTTATAAAACAATAAAATAATATACACAGACGGCATACTTGATGCTCACCTATGACGAGAGACTTCCATTTTTACTTTGTTAATTTCTGTCTGTGCTGACAGCTTGGAGCCTGCTTGGGTTTCTCTGCCTCGCTCTGTCTCTGACCCTCCTCCTCCCTCACTCTCTATCCCTCTCCCTTGAAATAAATAAACTTAAAGAAAAAGAAAATGTATCATTAATAGTTATAGAAATAATAATGTCTAATAAAAGGATATTACTGAGAATGTTACATATCATAGTCACATTTTCCTTAGGTTAGGCTTAAAACCTAACCCCCAACCCCTAATAAACTATATAAAATAACCATAAACCAATCTATAAAGACATATTAAGGTTTTAGAGGTTTTGATGACTGGTGTGGATGATATGAGCAGGCAGGGGCACTGAAACTTCCCACTCCTCCTTATTTACCACTAGTTATTTGACAGTTACCATAAAGGCCCCATGATTTGAATTCCCAAACATTTACCTATGGCCTTTTTCTATAATCCTTCTTTTAGTTTACTCAATTTAGTGTAGTTTGTTCTCAAATTTAGTGTACATAACAATGGCCATATGGGGTGGCATACAGGAAACCATGTATCCTTTAATTTATGGGTAATTCAAGGATTTTGCCCTTAATTTTTGTCTTACTTGCTGATTCTACAACCACCCTGTTCCTTTGTATGATATGAAAGTTGGCTGTACTTGAGAGAACTGTCAGAAACTTAATTGGCTATTCCCTATGTTGCCTGAAGAAAAGAATAGGGAAACTCTTGTGGCCCAAATACCCTTTCAACTTTCCCAAACTAGTGTATATTAAATGCTTAATTTATTTAGCCTGACCAGGAATCCTACCAAAGTACAGGTATCTGTCCTTTATATTTTCTTTTTTTTTTTTTTTAATTTTTTTTAACATTTATTTATTTTTGAGACACAGAGAGACAGAGAATGAACAGGGGAGGGGCAGAGAGAAAGGGAGACACAGAATCTGAAACAGGCTCCAGGCTCTGAGCTGTCAGCACAGAGCCCGATGCGGGGCTCGAACTCACGGACTGTGAGATCATGACCTGAGCCGAAGTCGGACGCTTACCCAACCAAGCCACCCAGGCGCCCCTGTCCTTTATATTTTCTAACAGAAGATAGAGTTCCATTATTAAGTAATCAGGTCTATTTATTGGTCAAAAACAAACAAGCATGACCATTGTAACTCTAAGAGAGAAATTAGAGAATTTGAGATGTAACCCATTGAGGAATCAAGTAGATTCCCAGAAAATGAGCGGTGACTTTCGCTAGAATGATTTCTGGCCCTTTCTGAGATGAGTGGGTGAACTAAATCGTTAAATGTGTGAGGTAAATGGTTAAATGAGGATGATCTGCCAGATGCATTCCTAACTTGAGGATGGGAGAGAAAGTGGTCAAATGGGATTGGATTAGGAGGCCAGGTGAGACTCAACGACGAGGCAGAAACGGAGACAGGGACCCCACGTTGGTTGTGCAAATTGTGTTCTGCACAAGAGCCCTGGCTGGAGGAAGGGGGAAGGGGCAGGAGAGGAAAATCTGGCTTTGGGTCTTGGCAGGGGACTGTGTCTGCAGGGTTGGGGGTTGGAGCAGGGGCTGACCTTTCCCATATGCTGAGAGGCAAAAATAGGCCCGTGGTGAATGGGGAGGATATTTGCTACATGCATTAAACTTCACACAAGTTTAAGGGTCAATTATTTAGATAACATATCCTGGTTGCAAAATGGCTGTGAGATGGCTAAACTTTTGTTAACTTACATTTTGTTTTCCACTCCGAATGCCTTCCTTCCTGTCCCTGTTGGAGAAGGGTGAGTAGCATTCAAGCAGGTACTTAGTTCCCTGAGATTTCCATAATGAGGGAAAAGCTGGAGCAGAGCAGGAAACCAAAAGTAACTATGGCTATTCTGGCTTTTTTTCTACAAAAAATATAAGCACTTAGGGGAAGGCAATTTGTAGGTACAGACATAATGTCTTGGTAACCCAAGAGGAGGTCACAGATTTCCTAGGGCTGTGGAAAGGAGAGAAAGAGAGAGAGACAGAGAGACAGACAGAGAGACAGGGGCAGTGAAAGAGGGAGGGAGAGAATCCCAAGCAGGCTCTGCACTGTCAGGGCGGAGCCCCATGTGGGGCTCAATCTCATGAACTGAACCAAACTGTGAGATTATGACCTGAGCCGAAATCAAGTCAGACACTTAACTGACTGAGACATCCAGGCACCCCTAAAATAACATAAAATGAAAAAACAAATTTACCTGAATATAAAACCCGAGATTTATATGTACCACTGGTGTCTTTAAGTGAATATATCAAAATGGCTATATCAGAGTCATGGGTCTTGCCTCCTGTGTGCCAGGCATGTACTGTGTGAAGCATGTTCATACCTGTTCTTTCATGTAATCGTCACAACAGCACTGCATGGCAGATGTTGTGATCACCCCAGTTTACAGGTGAGATACCATGGCTCAAAGACCCAGCAAGTAAGTAGAGGAGCAGGGATGCAAACCCAGGTACGTTTTACTTCCTGCATTATATACCTGGTATCAGTGACATGTACCCAAGCTCAGAGACAATGGGAATATACTAGAGTTCTCAAAGGTAAAAAAACAAAAACAGAGCTCAGTCCGCTATAGCACTGGGTCCGTCTCATTACTGAAAACTGGGTATATAAACACACACACACACTCATTCATGCATGTGAATTCCAGTTTTCCCAGAAAACAATTCCAAAATTCCCAGCCAAGTATGAGCAAAAGAACAGACACACTTTAGCATTTATTTTTTACAAAGTGTCTAATTTATCAAAGACCAAGGTTTGACCTAAATATTTATATTCAAGGCTTTGGATACCTGGTATGCACCAATTCACAGGACAATTTTACCTGGTTAGGGTCAGGATCAACTTCATCCCAGTTGTGAGTGACATGGCCTTGGTCAATGGACTCAAAGGGCTTGTGGGAAACTGAAGGTAGAATCCGATACAGCCAGCTGGGGGGGGGGAAACAAGGACACATAAGCCTTAGGGTGGTGTTATTAGGGATACGCAGACTGGCTCAGGAAGTACCATCAGGAAGATGCTCAAGTCAACAACGATCTGTGGGCTTTAATGTGAGAAGCAATGACACAGCATCACTTCTTAATAGCCACTGCTGCCCATAGCCCTGGCCTCTTCCCACCTTTCCACTCTGCCCATTACTCTTCAAATTGAGCCTCTGGCTCTTGGTTGTTCCCATACTGACAAAAAAATAAAGAATTGTCTTTTCCAATGACAACTATTAAGGAAGGGGAAGTATCTTGAGGGATATCTGTACAGGAAAATCCATAGAAAAGCATTAGTGTGTATACGTCATTGGACACTATTTCTTATTCTGGAAGGTGAGGACAATGAATCCTACATAGACTGAGAGAATATAGGGTGTTTCTTTGTTATTTTTGAAATATAAATTTTTTCTTTAAAATTATAAAAGCAATACATGACTATGGTAGAAATAATTCAAGAAATTCAAGAAATTCAAAAGTCCCTAAGGGTAAATGGTTCTTCCAATTTCTCCTCCAATTTCTTCAGGGCCAATTATCAGAAGCATCAGAGCCTAACAATGTTCTTATATATTCTCTCAGATATTACCAGTGCATATATAAACAAAATTGCCAAATCACTGTACCACTTTATTCTCACAACAATACTGTGTGAGTGACTGATGGCTCGTGTCTTCACAAATAGGAGGCATTATTAAAAATGATTTTGGCCCTATAGGCAAAAAATAGTATTTCATTTTTATTTTGTATTTCCTTTATTATGAGTAAGGTCAAGAATCTGTATGTTTATTGGTTCTTTGTAATTTTTCTATGAATTACTTGTACAAGTCATTTACCATTTTTTTTATTGGGTTATGTATCTTTTTGATACTAATTTGTAAGAGGTTTAGGACATTAACACTCTGTACTCCAAAATTATAAGATGATCTGTCCATATAGTCTTACAGTTAGTAATTTCTTTCTTTCTTTTTCTTTCTTTCTCTCTTTCTTTCTTTCTTTCTTTCTTTCTTTCTTTCTTTCTTTCTTTCTCTTTCTTTCTTTCTTTCTTTCTTTCTTTCTTTCTTTCTTTCTTTTTCTTTCTTCCTCCTTTTCAAGTTATCTGTGTATGTCAAGGTCTGAGCCAAAGATCTCCCTGCCAGGACCCAGATCTCAGGCTTCAGGAAGAGAAGATGCAGGAATCCTGAAGAGCACCAGGAGAAGAACCGTCCAGAAGTTGCAAGGGACACTGGAACTTGCTAAGTGGGACCCAAGTCCTTTCAGAGACCATTACTCTGGCAGTGTACAGAACAAAAAGGAACACTACTTCTGACAATGGGAGACTAGACCTGCTTAAACAGCCTCTGGCCCCTTAAACCCTAGGACAGTCTACTTCAAGGGGTGGAGTTTGCCTGGCCCTACACTGAACCATTTGGGAGATAAAAGGGCTAGATTGTCCAGGTTCCGTTTGATTCCTCCAGTTCTAAATGATGTGACCTCTGACCTTGGACTTTATGCTTATGAATAAACCAAGCCTGTGTAGTTTCTAGTAGTTAAGGGCATGCATACATATCTAAGAAACAACTGTGTGACCCTGGGCAAGTTATGTTTCTCATCCTTATCTCCTAGGATTATTGTGAGGATTCAGAGTTTATGTATTTAGAGTGCCTGGAACATAGTAAGTTCTCACTTACTAGATATGTGTTGAATTGTCTGCCTACCCCTAATCATATGGGTTTTTAAGATGGTCCAAATTTTCCACATTCTCTGTCCTGACTCTCCCCTCCTCAGTACCTGAGGGATCAGCTAACAATCTGATAAAAAGTAACCCTTGATAGGTATAACCTCTGAGAGTTTTGTGAGGCCCTCTACTCTGTGATTTAAATGAGAAGTGACTCACTGTAAGAATTCCAGGCTTACCTGGTTCTATCTTTCCACTGGGGATTTTGAGCATTTTCACAAAAATTATTGTGGATACCTTTGGAGAGTTCTAAACAGATGGGTGAGCCATGCCTAGTGTCCCTTGTTTTTTAGCTGTTTATAAAACTCCCCAGGCAGCACTACATTACCCTGGACAGAGATTTAATTCTGATTCAAGAAATGGTGCCAGCTTCTTAATGAAATGCCAACAGCTCCTTTTCAGCCTCCTGGAACAGAGCTAAGCTCCTGCTGCCTGAAGATATCACTGAATAATGGGGGTAGGCAGCAGAATCTGGAGTCCAGGTGTCCCATTATTGAATGGCCATAAAGTCAAGAACATAGTCATGGAGGCTAGGTTGTCATAAATTAAAATGAACAGGAATTGTCAGTGTTCCTTCCTTACCTTGACTGGAATTGCAAAGAGAGAGAGAGAGAGAGAGAGGTGATTAAACGATAATAGAATTAACCCCTGAGTTTTGACAAGTATGGGAAATGATCTCTTCTTCCCTCCATGCACATATCTGTCAAGACAGAAGCAGTATTGTTATGGATAGACGTAGTAGCATAGCACTTGCCATAGCTCACACTCAGTTCTCTGACAGCCTCCTAGGGGTACCCTGTATTGGAGGGAGAAATACTACTATGCTGACAGTAATGGTGATTGGAATAATTAATGTTAATTGAGCACTCACCATGTGCCAGGCAATGTGCTAAGTACTTTATATGCACTCTTTCCTTTAATCCTCACCACAACTATGAAATAGGTACTATCGTCATCTCTTTGACAAATGAGGAGCCATAGGCTCTGAGGGGGTAGATGACTTGCTCAAGGTCACACAGCTTAAAGGAGAAGGAGGCATGATTTAAACTCAGGGGACCTGACTTCAGAGTGGGCATAATTAACCACTAAAGACAACAACCTATCGTTTGTGTGGTCCATTGTGCTGTCGTAGTCACTACCTCATTTGCTCCCTAGGAGGAGACTGTGGAGGTAAAGCCAGTCCCATCCACTAAGCAGTACCAGACCAACTGCCCTCCTCCCCAAGTCTCCAAAATTAGGAGCACTCCTCTCCACAGATGCCCTAGCCTGACATTCCTATAGTTCGACACTACTTGTTTAAGTACGACACTTACTGCCTCCCCAAACCACAACATCTATTGTGTTCAACCTGCCCCATGGGAGTAAATCAAGGGAGTGAGTTCATTGGCCTGGCTTGTGGGATTAGAGGAAGCATGCAACATGACACATTTTGCTAATGAATGTGCTGGTTTCCATCAAAGGCAAATTCCAAAGAGTAAAAACCTTATTAATTCAAACCACAAGAGGCCATAATAGATGACCTTTCAACTGCCCAAGGTTAGTTATCCAATATTTTCATGCAAAGAAATAATATTTCTAGTCAGCTGAAGAAGATATTACACTGAATCTGTAATTTTGAGTTACTCATTATTTAAAAACAAACAAACAAACAAACAAATCAAAATTGAAAATTCAACTGGACAACCCTTTGGGGAAGGCCAATTTACTGGGGACATTTTCTTTTCTTTTAAAAAATTTTTTTTTAGTTTACTTATTTTTGAGAGAGAGAGAGCGCGCGCATGAGTGGGGGAGGGGCACAAAAAGAAGGAGACACAGAATCTGAAGCAGGCTCCAGGCTCTGAACTGTCAGCACAGAGCCTGATGCGGGGTTTGAACCCGTGAACCGCGAGATCATGACCTGAGCCAAAGTCGTATGCTCAACTAACTTAGCCACCCATGCACCTACTGGGGACATTTTCCTTTGGAGACAAGTGATGATTTGTAAATGGAGCTGGACATGTGTGTTTTCCAAGACTCTGTGCAGCTGCTTCCTTACTTTTTTCCACCAGTGACTTGATCCTAGCTGGAGACAAGCCCTCCCCTCACAATTACCCAGAGTACAGCCTGTGAAAAGCAGAATCTTCGGCAGCCCTGGGAAGCGATGGCCCAGATGTAGGAGCCAGCACTAAGTACTAGTCATAAATCCCACAGCCTTCAGGTCAGAATTAATGTAATCCTGTACCTTCTCTTATTTGTGCTCCGTGGACAAGTGAAAGCCGATCCTGAGAGCTGCTCAGCATACAGGTTATAAGGGCAGACTTGAGGATTGTTCTAAAACAAAGGAGGCAATAAACAACATCACTCCAATCAGAAAAGCATCTCACCTTCCTGCAAACAATTCAGTGGGGGAATTCTGTCCTGGATGAGGATGCTCTGGTCCACTGCACAAGACCATCTTCAACTCATATATACTTTTTGTAACAACTGTTTAGGTGACTTTCCTCGTGTTTAGAAAAGCAATACATGTGTAATACAGAACATTTATAAAATATAACCCATGATCTCACCATCCAGAAATAACCCAATGTTGTCACACTGGTACATTTCCTTCCATTCTTATCCTCCAAAATAAGGATCCAATGATGGATGATGTGTGTAGTCCTATAATGATCACAAAATTTTTTTTGGTGGAAGAAACACTATATCATGAGCAATTTTTTCATGCCATAAAATATTCTTTAAAATTTTTGAAAATATTTTGTATGCCATACTTTTGTTATTGTAACCAACACTAGTGTAAACATCTTTGTGGATCCATTTTTAGGACTGATTATTTTCTCATCATTGTCATAACTCATGCCATTTAAGAGAACTATAAGGAAGTCCTCTTAACCTTGAGCCTAGGGGATCCTCCTGAAAGTCTTACAGTTAGTCTTGCTATTTCAGATTGCGTGCTTTGCCATAGGTAACCACCATCCCACTTTAATCTTTGTATTGGCATTGTTGTGTATCCCAAGTATCTTAATGAGTTGTGAAACTCCTAGACAGTTCCCAGGAACAATGGTGAGTAGATGCACTTTGGCCTGAGGGCTGGTTATTCATTCCTACAAATCAGAGCTCTCTAAGCTGATATTCTATTCATCCATACCTGTCCTTCTGGCAGAGCACCTGGGCAGCGAGGGTCCTCTGAGGCACATTCATTCCCGAATCCAGAAATGTACTGCATATGACAAAGATACGAAGGCTGTCATTAAAGTATTTAAAGAGCATTTCACAACATTGATAGTCTAATGAAGGTAAGAATTTCTATAAGGACATGTGTTTGTGTATGATGTTCCATATGTAATATGTTTGCTATGTCTTGGCATGTGGACCATCTAGGAAAGAAAATATGCTCTGTGTGAATTTTAAAGACCACCAATTAGGGGCTTCTGGGTGGCTCAGTTGGCTAAGCGTCCGACTTTGGCTCAGGTCATGATCTCAAGGTCTGTGAGTTTGAGCTCCGCGTCAGGCTCTGTGCTGACAGCTCAGAGCCTGGAGCCTATTTCAGATTCTGTGTGTCCCTCTCTCTCTGCCCCTCCCCCCACTCATGCTCTGTCTCTCTGTCAAAAATAAAATAAACATTAAAAAAAATTTTTTTTTCAACGTTTATTTATTTTTGGGACAGAGAGAGACAGAGCATGAACAGGGGAGGGGCAGAGAGAGAGGGAGACACAGAATCGGAAGCAGGCTCCAGGCTCTGAGCCATCAGCCCAGAGCCCGACGCGGGGCTCGAACTCACGGACCGCGAGATCGTGACCTGGCTGAAGTCGGACGCTTAACCGACTGCGCCACCCAGGCGCCCCCCAAAAAATTTTTTTAATTAAAAAAAAAGACCACCAATTAATTGGGAGAAGACTCCTGAATATTGCATAGACTTTCCACCCTTAGCTATACTTAGTTGATTTGTGGGTTTGTTCTTAATTATTCCACCCCAAGACCAGGTTCTTTAATTATCTTTCCGCCAGGGAGTTCTGGAGAAAGGAGATAACTAGGCATCACCTCAACTCCAGATTAGTAGGATCTTGCTGGGCCTAGACTGCAACCTCCCTGTGTGTGGAGCTCCATTCCCCTCCATGCTCTGAAACAAGCAACTAAATATAGGCATGTGGATCCAGTCTACAGCAGAACGCTTGAGGGAAAGATCTCCAAACTAGCCTTGCTGAGAGGCAGAAGCCTATATTTTCTGATTCATCTATGGAACACTTGTGTACATATTTGTATTTTTGTGGATACATGGAAACAAAATCTGGAGATATGGGTGGCTTTCACAAGTGCCAGACCAAAGTCTGTCCACAGTGGTACAATGGAGTCTATTTGATTGCCGGCTGTTTCCTTTATACCTAGAGGGGAAAAAAGTTAAAGACTTTCTCAACAAAGTAAAGTATGGGAGCCCCTGAAATTTATTCTTACAGCACTTAGCATACCTGTGAGCTCTTGTTCACTGTCTGGCTTCTCTGCAAGTTGGTAAGCCCCAAGAAATCTGTAGCAGTCTTGTTCGCCTGGATGTGCCCTGTGCCTGATTTACCAGAGGGTACTCAATAGATACCTATTGTTTGATTTAGCCTTTCACTTAAAGCCTATTCTGAGTGTATGTATGCTGCTGTAGGTGGGGTTAGAACCCCCTTTTCTCTAACTCAAATATTTAAAATGGCTATTTTCTGCCCATAGTGGATCCTAATAAACGGACTTAATTTTAGCTCTGGATAATGAAAGTGCAGCCTTGCTCTCTGAGTGAAATGCCACCATCTGAGCACATGTCTTTAAAAGATATAAGAAGGATGCTAGTGGGTGGAGGGTGAGCCCTCCAGAGTTCTCAGCAGCATGGAGACGGATGAGCTGAATGCAATATGCCTGGATGTGTGAGCAACGATCAGGCCAATAACTGCTATATTTGGAAGGAATATCAAATGTGAAATGTTATGACCTAGAAAGCAATGGAAGTGAAATTATTCTTTTTGCCTCCAGACACAATTTTTTTTTTTTTTTTTTTTTGTACTTTGGAAAATCTATCAGCACTAAAAACACTGAGTTATATTATACACAGATAGGTTAACTGCAGCGACATGCAGTTTGGACTGATTTCTTTGGGGAAATGGTAGAGCATTGTGACTCTCCACTGAGTACAATTTTCTTCTCTCAGAATGGGCCTCACGCTCACTGTCAACAGGAATGAATTGGAGTTGCTGAGAAATGGTAATGACCCCAAATTATCTTCAATTCTGTGGAATGGAATTTTAGACCAATCTGTGACTGAAGCAAGCCATTGAGCATGACAGCGCCCTTACTTTCTTTGTTCAACTGCCACATTGTTTCTCTCTGCAAGAGAGGCCGGGGAGTCTTAAGTATTGAGGCATACAGCTGAACCTTCTCCAGTCATGGGCGGGTTTACTTATTAACCTTCCCCATTCTTTGCCACTGCTGGTCTCAGAACAGAGTCCAGGGTTCTATGTATTTTTGGCACAAGGGAAAAGAGACTTAGTATACGTAGTTCTGAAGCATTTGCTTCTGACTGCTTTAAAAAATAGAAAAGAAAGTAGAAAGAACAGCTGGTGGTTTGGAAGGGAGCCACCCAGCTCTGAGAGAGGTGTGAGTTCTGAGCCTGTTTCTGCATCTTAGCTGTGGTGCATTGGCTGACGAGGAGGTGGAAAATGCTGACTCACTCTCCAGTCAGTTGGTTTTCCTAATCCTCGGAGAGAAGAATTTACAGATGAGTTTATTAGAGCTTTCAAATGCCATGTCCCTTACGGCCGAAGGTATTTGACTTGAGGAAGCAGTATTCAGCAGGTGCTTTCCCAAGCTTCTGAGATCAAGGGCAGAATCTGAACTCTGCTTATATCAGCTGTGAAAATCCAAGTGTGCAACTCCAGCTGGTTCAGTGACTATGTACAAATATTCCTTATGCAAGAAGAAAAGAAAATCTAACATTAAGCAAGTGAGTTTGTATGTTTTCTTCAGTCCAGATTTCTGAATAACTTGATCCAACATAAAAAAATGATCTCACTTTTCTCCAAGAGAATGATATGAATCCTTTCTAAACAAAAGAACAAATTAGTGAGCTCCATATAACTTCAGTTGTCTGGCAGCTGCCTACCATACCGCTTTTTAATCCTCGCCTGGTCCCTGGGACGTACTCTGTGTCAGAGTAGGCTTATGAGGTGCTTTCTCCCAACTCTGATTCTGGATAATGCCCTGATGGGACGGGCAGATGGTGCACCTCACTGCCTTTCACTGAGCATAAAGGAAGGAGAGAGAAGTCAGGGTGGAGATGGAACGATAGCTACCTTGTTCCTGTGGCAAGAGTCCAGTATTTCTAATGAACTGTGCTGGGAACAGAGAACAGAGATTGTTGGGAACTTGCAGGTTATTGTGGTAGAGCTGAATAATGACCTTCAATGATATCCATGTCTGAATCCCTGGGAACTTCCTACACTCAAAGAGACTTTGAGGATGTGAGTGAAGTACGAATCTTGAGATGAGGGATTATCCTGGATGATTTGGGTGCGCCCCAAATGTAATCACAAGTGCCTTAGTACAGGGAGGTGGAGGGATATACAGCTACAGAAGAGGAAAAGGCAGTGCAGTGACAGGCAGAGGCTGGAGTGATATGCTTTGAAGATGGAGACTCAATCACAGAATGCAGGCAGCTTGGGGAAGCTTGAGTTTAGCCCTGGGAAACTGATTTCACAGTTCTGACTTCCATAACTGTAGGAGAATAAATATGTGCGGTTTTAAGCCACTAAATTTGTGGTAATTTGTTACAACAGAAACAGGAAACAAATACAATCGCAATATTAGTGGGACCCATCTCTGGCTAATCATTAGAATCACCTCCAGAAATTTATCAAACACACACCCAGACCTAGTGAATGAAAATATATGGTAGTGGGGCCCAAAATCTGGATATTGAACAGCTCTTCATTTTAGAAATTAGGAAATCAAGACTTGTAGAAGTGAAGGGACTTAAGAATGTGGAATAGTCTGTTTGAAATTTAACCTTATTATTTTCTCTTTCGAATTTTCTTCCCCCAGTTGTGCTGCTTTTACATAAATGTGATTTCTTTTAGGCTTTGTGTTGATATATCCGTTAAAATGAAGACATAAAAGCTGAGAAGTATATTTTTTAACTTATGTAATGTTTATTGATTAGAATGATGCAATCTGGTTTTCTGTGTTTGGATTCCTGATCTCTAGAGCTAACCTTTGCTCGTGCAGATTAGACAGCAGGCAGGGAAGAAAGCCTTTGAAATTGAGAACAAAGACCAGCATGCAATTTACATTGGTCTGCTGGTGCTGTGCATAATAAGTTGCTAAAAATTTCAGCAGGATAGGATTTTAGATATAATTTATTTATAAATGGTAAGGATGTTTCCAGCCCCTGCTGAACTCTCCCATAGGATTTTCATCAGGAAACAAAATTCTTATGCACTCTCCCTTTCCCAGAACTTCAGCTGCCACCATTGATAGGATGACCTCCTGTATCTATTAACCTGGTCCTACCCCCTCCCCTGAGATCCAGATCCATACATCCCACTGCCTCCTGGGTATGTCAACTTGGCTGTCCCTGCAGCAGCTCAAATTTAGCTGAAACTCTCTTGGCTCCCAGAATATGCTGGACTGTCTGTGTATGCCGTGCCTTTGCACTTGTTTTTTCTTTGCCCCCCCCACCTCTTTTCATTTAGCCAATTTCTACTTCTCTCTTATGAGTCAGCTGAGGAACAGCCTTCTTCAAGAAGTTTCTCTTGACCCCACCTAGCCCAGACTCGGTTCCTTTACAGTATCAACCTGTGGCATCAGTACTAACACATAATATTTGCTGAATGAAAGAGAGTTCTTTCTCAGCATTTCCGACTCTTGGTCACACATGAATGTAAAGAAACAAACGTTTACTTCAGTGTTGTGTGTTTTCAGGATCCCTATCAACTGGGGCGATGTTTGATTCTTCAAACTCAGCATCAGTTGAAGGGCATTAGGAAAGTGTTCAAATTCTGCATTCCTGAAAGAAGCCCGGAGTGTGGCTCACCTGACTTGAGTCAAGTTCTGGAAAGTTCTCCTCAGTTCCACATGCATGTGTTGGGCACTGATATAGCCCAGGCTGGACACTAGGTGTGGTTTTAGACACTGGGAAAACAGTCCCCTTCCCTGGACTTAAGGCACACGGTCCAGTAGATGTCACTAAATATCCTTTTGGAACTTGGGATTTGGATTCTGACAAACCAGGTTCTGATCTAGTCTGTCACCTATAAGCAGTGACCTTGGGCAAGTCACTTAATCTCTCCAAACTTTCTTTTCCTTTTTGGTTAAATAGAAACAAGAGCGCCTACATCTCAGATCTATTTTGAGGATTACAATATGAGTTAATTCATTAATAGCACATAACCCACACATATTTTTCAATTGCACATTAAATAATAAAAAGGAATTACTTCCTAGAGGAATTGCTAGGGCTTCTATTGGCCAAGGGCCAATTGTGGATCCTCAAAATAACTGAATAGATACGGCAGATCTAATTGGTTGGATGGAGGCAGTCCAGGAAGCTGTAGCAACAGGAAGATATCAGGGAGTAGGGGCTGGGAAGCAGGCAGTGAGATATATGTCTGCCCATGGTCGTTGGGGGGGTGGGGTGGGGCGGGGAGCCCTTATGATGTCTACAGATTCCCAAGACAATATTTGAAATGAACAAAGGCAAAAGATGGACAATGAAGGCTTCATCTCTTTTCTTTACCACCTTTCCATCAACACCCCCAGCTCCAGCCATGCCTGTGGACACCATGGCAAAACCTCTGAACACAGGGGTTTAGAACATGGCCTTTCTAGGTCCTTCCTGACTCCGACACTCTGGGGTTCTCAGAAGCTTCCGTAAATTCTGGCTGAAGAAGCCACAGCAAACTTGGCAGATAGTCTCTTACCTTCAACTCGGCCATTTTCCCTCTGCTGCAGGTGTGATGACTTCAGGAAACACAGGCCCAGAGAGGGTATGAAGCTAAAATGCTTCTGTTTCTCCTCCAATCCACCCTCTGAATGTTATTCCCACCACTTCACCGTGCTCACTGGTTAGCAGGCGGCTCAAACTAGCCACAAAAATTGCCTAACTGATCAACTAGGGAGAAAGTCCAGCATGCTTGTTTTCAAACTGCTTACGCAATTGTCTTTGGTTTTCACTAAATCTAGGCTGTTTCTGGAAGAGTTTGCAGAGCCTATCTCCTCTCCAGCCGAGGTAAAGATTAGCCAATTATGTGTCCCAGTGAAAAGAAGGAGGCTTATTACTGAAGACAGAGAATGGAAAGCTCTCTGGGAAAGGAACCGTGGTAGTTAAGGCATGCTGTGTGCGGCAGAGGCTTCTCTCAGTCCTGACTCAGGCCTGGAAGGAACAGGGCAGGGTATTCATTCTCTGCTGGGCAGTGACAAAATGAATTGTGCTCTGGCACAGGTGTTTACACACAGCTGCTTGAAACAGGGACTGAGTCTGGACAGCTGTCCAGAGGTGCCTCCAAGGGATGAGCTGGGTGAACTGTCCAGAGTCTGAAGTGCTTCACTTAAAGCAAACGGAGATGTTTGCTATTGTTCCTTTCATTTCTTAAATATATTTAGTGGTTTTTTAAAATAAATTCTTTAAAAATCTTGTTTTCTAATACCTTTATCCTTCTAAAAGCGGACCAAGAAATTACTTTCCAGCCACCTTTTCCATGACTCCCTTGCCCTTCATCTTGGCTATTCTCCTTAGCCATGGTTAGATATCCACTTTGTGGCTAATTGTACTCAGGAAGAAAGAAACTATATATCGAGTGCCTGTTCATGCCAGGTTTTTCCATAGAAATTATCTCATTTAATTTCACAAGAACAGTCTTGTAAACTAGGCTTTATCATCACAAACTTAAGTGCAACAGACCAGGCAGGAAATGTAGGCTAGGTGGTATTTCAAGATAAGACTTCTAAATGAAGCTCCAATTTTTAAACACTGGAAACTAGAACAAACACACGAATGAATGAATGAATGAATGACTAGATAAAACCATTGTGGTAGATTGCAAAAATGTCCATAATTTTCTCCCATCCTTGTATGCATGCTCTTTTGTAATGTTGGACTTTGCTGCTCTTCACATAAAGAGATGTAGTCTTTTTCTTACCTCCTTGAATCTTACTTTTGTTAATAGCAAGCACAACATAAGCAGGGGCGTGAATAGTGCTTGTGCCTTAGGATTTATCCATTTCTTACTACTTGAAATTACCATGCAGAGAAGCTGGGCCAATCTCCTTGAGAATGAGAAACCACATGAAGAGAGAAGTTAGTCCAGCACCAACTGCCGGACATGTTGAAAGATGCAGTCTGGTTGTCATATAACTGGAGACACATGAATGATCCCAGGTGAAAATGGCAGAAGAACCCCCAGCAAGACCTAGTCCAAATTGCTGACTCACAGAATTGTGGGCAAATGGAATGGTGTATTTTATGGTATTTAATGGGGTGGTTTGGTGAGATAACTGATACACTGATATAAAAAACATACACGCAGATTTGAAAAGGTCATGGGCCATCAGCTTAGACCCTCTGCTCTATATTAAATGGGTCTAAGTTACCGCCAGAGGTCCCCAGGCTCCAACATACTGCAGTAGCGGCAGATGATTTGCCTGTGTACGAGGTGTTAGCACAGAGAGGGCCAGAAAAAAATGACAGGTTGGTAGCAAACCTGTTCCAGACAGTTATAGGACATCTCAGCATATGTCAGCATAGACAGATGACACTGTGGTATTACGTAAGCTTGCTTCCCTGGAATTTATATACAAACCCTGGAGGAAGTGGTATGTGTTGGGGGAGGCCCTGGTTTTACTGAGGCTAAGTTTTTGTTACTCCTGCAGTATGCAGACTCAAAATCAAAAATGAATTCCAGAAAAAATATTTCTTACATCTGAGTTTATGAGTATTTTGTCTTCAATCTATCTATCCTGGAAGTGAGTCTTTGGTGGTTAGAGGGAAAAAATGAATGGGAGTCAATAAAAGACAAGGGAAAAGCTTTACTGCTTTATTTTTCCATAGGCTTCCTATGTTCTTTTCATTGAATCAGCTTTGAAGGCAAATTCAAGAAGCGTTTAAACTCTTTCCTAGGGTGTAGAAGATTTCTGAAAGAGTAAGAAAGTGGTCACAGATCCTTGACTGGACGAAAATTACTTTCAGGAGCTTGAAAATATTTGAAATTGAATAACCTATCACCAAACTTTATGGATTTCTCCTGACTTAACTGTATTTCTTTTTTGTTTTTATAAACGTGATTCCATAAAACAAGTATTTGCTTTGTATAACTATGTGCCAGGCACTGTGCTTTATACACACAAGGGATAGGAGAATAAATAAAACTCAGCAACAGCTCTGATTTGAGGTCTGATGGTTTTCCACTTTAATTAATGTAATCACACACTCATTTCTTTATCTTACAATTATTGAGGACCTCCTATGTGCCAGACTGTGTGAGATGTAGGAGATACAAAGATGACTAACTCAGTCCTGTTCTCTACTAGTGCAGCATACTGGAGAAGGCTGAAATAAACAGGCTATAACAACAGAGAACCGTATCTGCTGTGACAGAGACGAGCCCAGGGTGCTACAGGAGGGATTGAAGGGCACCTAGTCCTGAGCAGGAGGGCAGGGAAGGCTTCCCAAAGGAGGCGATAACTGAGCCAAGCTTCACAGGATGAGTTGGATAGGGCATTGAGCAGAGGAAAGAGTGTGTGCAAACACAGAAAAGTGGAAGGGCAGTGCATTCAAAGAGCTGTGTTTAGGGCAGAGTGGAGGGGTCTAGTGAGGGAAGACCGGGAAGGGAAAGTTTGGCAGACATCTGAAGCAGGGATTGAGGGATGCCATCTGGGCAGGTGTCAAAAAGACACCCAGTGGAGGGAGAAGTTTGTGTAGGGACAAGGCAAACACACACTGGATCAGAACAGAGTCACGCTGTCAAAGTTGTGAGCAACAAGAACAAAGATGCTAAAAACCAGTAGAGGAGGATAGATTCGGTGAAACAATACAGGGAATGCGTGAGGGGGAGAATTTGAAAAGGACCAGGAAGTGGAGACAGCAGGTATCTGCTTCTCCCAGATTCTAGTAGAAATCAGGTTTACCCTCTGCAGAAGCTTCAGAAGAAAAGTCAGAGGAGTTCCAGATTCACACCACCAGATTGTGGAGTAGGACCAAAACCACGTGTAGGTAAGTGATGAAACCTCCAGCCTCCTTCTTCCACTGCACTTCCTGAGAATGCTATCAGGAAACGTTTCACCCTCCAGATAGCAGACTGGAAAGATTCTTCTCTAGGACAGTAATCCATACATACTGGATATTTTGATAAATATTAAATATAAAAGGTAAAGTCGTTCCAGAAATGCTTCTTTTAATAAGTGGATGCCTCCCCCATTAGTTCGTATATCCACGAATTAGTAATTCTCATTTATAGTTCTTATTTCCAGAATAAGACATGATTCAACATCATTTAATCTTACTTTTTGGTTTTAAGACATGTTAAGAAAATTCATTCACATAGATAAGTAGATATGAATGGAAGGAATTTTATTACCTCACTTCTCCTTCTGAATCAAATATCAAAAATCACATAGCAATCTATCATAAACATCATTTTTAGTAACCTATCAACAACTCAGGTTCTCCTTTAATTTTTTTGCAAGGAAATAATTGGGAATCTGATTGGAAAAGGCTTGGTTACCCAGCTATTGGAATCAATGACTTTAATTAAATGTTACCTTTTCACTTAGATGTGCCTTTTCTAACTCATTTTACTTAGAAAGGGTTGAGAAAATAAATGTTAATTTTATATTCCTTTGCCTGTATAATTATTTTTCACAAAAAATGTTATTTTGATATTTTGATAGACCAAGCAAGAAGACTTGCCATGAAGAAATGTGTCATAGCCTTGGTTATTTCTTACCAAAACTCTCTTTGCTGTGTTCTCAGGAACTCAGGAACCGCTTCCTTGAGAGGTCTGCATTTTTTTTTTTTTTTTTTTTTTTTTTTTTTTTAATAATTGTGAGTGGAACAAAGTCCTTAAATAAAACTAATATTTAGAATTGTCCTTTTATTGGCATCCTAAGACATTTACACCCTGGGCCAATATACCACATTCCTACATAAGCAAGATATTCCTTTTCCACTGTGGGAAAAGGACAATTGAGAAAGAAAGCACAGGTGGGAAGTAAGAACTAGCACTGAGCTGCATTCACAAGAAGAACAATTTTAACATACATAATGGAGATGGATGACCTGGAAAATGATTCCCCTAAAACTATCTGTGTCCATGCACCTCTTGGAGGGGACATGTGTACCCATCCCAGTTGGAAGACCACAGATCCACACCGAGAAAGTGGCAAACATTTCATCCTGGGAGCTGGGGTAGTGTTACAGGGTAATGTGAAGGAGTGTGACAGGTCTGGAGAGCAATCACCCCAGGATGGAGTTAGAGAAGTTACAGTTAGAGGGTCTCCAAAAAAAAAGATGGAATTGATAAATGTACTTGCTGGTACTGAGCAAGATTTTATGTCTTTGTGGGAATGCAGGGGTTTCATCCTTCACCAATACTTACTGATGACCTTGGTAAGGCTTAGTGATTAGCCAGCTGAGAAAACAAATGTGGTACAAGTGAGGGACCGTGTATGAGATGGCAAGGCATCTTATTAGAAATAAATACACCTGGAATGCAGAACATGGTGGTAGTAAAAATGACAGTAGTACATTAAAAACAAACATCTCCTGTTTTGCCAATAGAGAATGGGACAATCATGTCATGATTGCTGTGGCATGTATCACCTTGAGAGGGAAGAGTGGCTCAGCTCATGAAGGCGAAATCATTTAAGGAAGCCCAAGATGAACTTTGATGAACTATACAATGGTGCCATTAAGTACATTCCGCATATTCTCTATGATAGGAGTTTATTATCTTTCTCAGAGTGTGGATCCCAGGCCACTCACTGCAGAATCACCTGGTTTGTCTGTTAAAAATACAAAATCCTGGCTCTATCCTATATACATAGAATTGGGCAAGGAGAGGGGGACTGATAAAATCCCAATCTGCATTTTTAAGCACTTCAGAGGATTTTTATGCACATTTGAGTCCGAAAGCCACTGCTTTAAGTCCTTAAATGGAGGTACTAATAGTAACTGGAAGTCGGACCCCCTTCCTACTCTATGGAGCAGCCCTGGTAGGCTTCAGCTCCAATTTTGCATCAGGCAAACATACTGTGGAATATTTGAGGCTCACGGTTCTCCTAGGGCTAGATTGCCTGGAACCTTTCCTCTCCTACCATAGTGATTTCACTCAGTCTGGGGACTACAGAGGAATGGATTTTTTATTTCCTTCTCCTCCTTCCCCGCAAACAGTATCCTCCTCTGAATTTTAACAGATATTAAATCAATGCAGACATCCTGTTAGACCTTCAAACTTCTTAAAATAGATGCTACCTGTGCTTTAAAAATTTCAATTGAACAACATTTATTAAAAACCCACACAAGGTCCTCCCTAGGTTGGGTGCTATGGCATATACTATTGAAATGGACACTCAAAAGCTCTGGTCATAGCAGCAGTGAGGAGCTCTTCATCTCCGTCTGATGGCCCAGCACATCAGTTCCACGCAGTCCATTTTCAGAATGGACAGAAAAATAGCAGTGTCAAGGCACTGTCACAGATTATGTTATGGATGCCTCAAGTTTAGGGACTTCTGAGAACCTAAGATAAAGTGATACGGATCAACCCCTTTGGGAGCAGCAATTCTTTTCAGAGCACAGAAGTGGAGAGGTCAACCCAAATCTTGGGCTGGATTTCAACGAAGGGCCCTGCCACCTGAGCGACAGATGAATAACTGTATGCCTTCACGTCTGGTTGCCTCCATGATAAATAACAACATTGGTTAGACATCTAAATCACAACAGAAAAAAAAACCCAAAAGAACCTCTATTGCTAATTACCTGTTCCATCAAGAAAATTAAAGATTTAATTAATACTCTTTAGGAAGTATTTTGGTATTTACATTTGTTGATTATCCAAAAGCAATTTTGATGAGCGGATCTCAAGAAATCCCAGCAAAAATTATTCTTCAAAACATTCATTTTCAAGAACTTTGGCTAATAACATTCATCTTGGCAAACAGCCTTGTTTTGCTGCTACTAATACTTTGCAACAAATTTACCTTAGATTATTAAAAATTATTTTTTCTCAGAAAACTATAATTCAGTCAAGCCTCACAAGCAAGAAGAAATGGAGTTGAGGGGTACTGCTAAGTTTTCAAGGCTGACCCTGAAAGGCATCAGTGATGGGTTATTTTTATTTTTTAGCAAGGGAGAAAATAAAGAAATTGAGAGAGGTTTTTTAATTAAGGGAAAGAAAGAGGAAGAAAGGGGAGAGAAGGAAAGGGTTATATGTATTTTCATTTCTGTGTCGTTGTATTATTCTTTTATTTTTTCAGAATGTATGTATAATTTTTTTTTAATTTATTGTTTACAAAGAGCTTTAGTTGGGTCTTTGTGCATGCATTTGTGCAGCCTCTGTCACAACTTGCTTGTGCCATACTCCACGTACAGATCCTGATTTGCATAGCTCTACTTTGTGTCAAAAAAGAAATCAGGCCTCGGTTTTATGGCTGAGGATATGAAGACAGACTGGAGAATATGCTAGCTGATCAAAAGTGCTTTAAAAATCCTTCCCCAAATTCCTACAACTGCCTTTCTAAAAGCACTGGCTAACCTTCTTATTTTAAGATCTTCTGGTAGCATACCTTGATTTCCAAAGTACTTCTGAAATTTAATTAAAATGGAATAGAAAGTGAACTTAGTGTTTTTTGCCTAGTTTTAAAATGAGGAGCTGAAAGTGTATACTTACTATTTTTTTCTAATATGGAGCAAAATCAGGACTGCAAAGACCTGCCTCGGAGCCAGAGAGCGGTTATGGGTAAAAAGGTGGTGCTGAATAAGGCAGCAAATTGCAGTTTTTGGAAACCAGGTCTATATATTAAAGAAGAACCGGGGCAGAGAGAATTAAACAAGCAAAAAAGATGGGTAAAAAAAGGAACGATGAACAATTATGCATACGCGCACATACACCACCACCCTCACAAAATGTTGGATTATGAAATCTAAGAATCCTAGTCCATAATTCATGTAAATGTGTTGCTGTAGAACTTATTTTTACTTGTCTCCATAAATACATTGTTGACACAGAAAATAACATTCTTAGTTTACCGACTACAGTTAAGAGACATTTCAGGAGTTGACTTTTCCTTTAAAAAAATAAAAACAGTAGAGGCTGTAAATCTCTCTTACTGCCCTTGAACAGGTCTTAGATTTCACCCTGCCTATTTCCAAATAGAAAACAATAAGACAGTGCAGACATCTGTAACCCAGAGTGAAGGATTTAGTGAGCTGTCAATTTCTCGGAGAATTCTCCTTTGCTGGTACTGCTGTTCTCTATGTATTATTAATCTATTTATATTTAACTCCAGCTATTAGTCTGCCTCTTCTAGCCACTGAACCATTTGCAAAGGAGAGGAGAGGGAGACAAGGGCTGCTATTATTAGGCATCCTTGTGTGTGATGAGAGTGGAGACAATTAAATAACACCATTTTGCTTCTTTGAAAACGACAGAGATTGTTTGGGGTGGACAACCCAGGGCTGGTTAACACAACCTTTCCCCTCAAGAAGGTAAAACAACAGAGATACATTTTTGAAGTACTTAATTAAGCCTTCAGCAAGGAGTGTGGGAAAGTTACAGACCTATAAAAAACCTTCCAATTCTGGGAAGAGTAAATTTTTTCTGTAGCACTCTGTCACTGCTCATTTACTGCATCATTTTGACAACATCTCATATTTCCACAAGGCTTTTACATAATCTATAAACAGGGACAGAAAGGTGAGGAACAGAATGGGGACAAAGTTTGGACCTCCCACGCTGTCACTTCCTTTCAGCTTTCCATTAAAGGGTGAGGCTGAAGGGTGGCATTTTAGGATGATTCTTTTAAAAGGCTGAAATATTAATAATCAACACAGCAAGAAGAAAGCTGTGCAGAACTGCCACCGCTTGCTCACTCTTCCAGGATGGGTGTAATTCAGTCATAATGAAGGCTCTTTAACGTTCCTCCCCCAAACCTTTTTCGATCAGGAAAGCCTGGAATCTGTTGGCAAGAAAGATAATCACGTTAAGTCTCAAGCAAGCAGAGTTCAAGTGCTAATAGCCTTATAAATTTTTCCCTTTATTTTCTGTTTCTTTATGTCACCCTGTTGTCCCTTACAGAATCATCTCTCTGAGGTTTTACTCAAATAATAAAATAAATGTTCCCCAAATGGAAAACATTTGCCAACAAATTGGTGATAGTGTCATCTAAATCAGGGAAGATGAAGGTGAATCTCATAACATCCGCCTACTGGACTTTTACATGAATTGTCTACATTGTGATAGGTCTGGGATATGTACCCTCTGGAGTCTTAAGCAAATGATTTTCTCCTATGATTTTATAATATAACCTTATCCCTGCATTCTTTTTGTTTCTTAGAGCCTTATTTTCCCTTAATCTGATATTTTTGCTTTTCTATTTAGCAGGACAGAAGAAAATGCTTTTGCCTACAAAGGATCCCCCCCCCACCTCACCCTTTTTTAAGCCACTTCTGAAAATAAATTTGGAAATCACCTCTCTTCAAATTTAAGAGCCCACTTTGTCAAGAATAGATACAGACCTGATTACCTTCCCTTAGAAAGTATCTCTTCTCTATGACCTGTGAGAAACAAATAAAGATTTTAAGGGCTTAGCAAAAGTGGTTCACTGTGGTTACCACTAATGGGACGAAAAGGCATATACCCAAATGAAGAGTTTTTTCAATAGTTATGGACATCTAGTACAATAAGTTAAATCTCATGCTAGTAAGATCAGGATTGTGGGCATATTTCCATAAAAGCTTGCCTTATTCCCAAAGGCATTAATAATAGATTAAAAATTAAATGAATACACAAAAATGGCTAAATCATAAGAGAATGGGATAATAACCCATGCAGTTCCAAGTGTACAGAAGCAAATCTGGCTCAAAGTTTCCTAGCAGTTAGCTCAAAGATACAAAACAGAACCCATAAGATAAAAGCAGAACACTTTTACTACTACAATAGTACAGGTATTCCTTATAGCCAAGTCTGTGTAATGTAGTGAACTGCCACATCCCTTGAGTAAACGCAGTGATAAATTTGGTAGGTCCTCAATGGAGACAGATGACACAACATCAAAGGCATTCAATTAGCTTCTTTCTATGGACTTAATCTGCATCCTTAATTCAGTAGTTTCAGAACTGTATTTGGTCAGCAGGAGAAATGCGGTAATGCAGTGGATGTATCCGCACAAATCCATCACTACTATTGAAAAAAAAAAACTCTCAAAAATACATGCCCTAATATAATTTAAGAGTACCATGTTTTCAGATGATAGAAAATAATTTTAAAAAATAATGAATTCTGTTCTAACACTTGAGAAACTGCACTGTTTGTGAAGGCGGTATGATTTTCTTTACACAGAGCTGTTATGATTAAGAAAAGCCAATTGGATAAGAATACAGATTAGATGCAGATTAACTCTCTAAAACACTGGAATCCAGAATTATGAAGCTAAGAATTCCCCTGAATAAGAGCATGGCGTCTCCTTCCAGGGCTGTGCCACCTTGATTTCACTGGCTTGACAACCAAATCATCTGGATTCTTTCTACCGTTGAGACTATGGGTTACTTTTAGCCACAAGAGACCCAGTGTAGGTTGCATTCACTGGCCACAGAGGTAGAAAACCTGGCTTGTGATTAGCACATATATCAAAATACTGGATCCCACGAAAACCAAGAAGAGGCTGACTCCTCCACAGCAGGTCAGGAAAACCCTATCATTCTAGAGTGGGGAAGAATTACTACTAAAGGGAGTCAGGAGAAGGAGCTAGATTCCCTCTTGGTAAATAAATCTTTATACTAAATTCTGGAAGATATGGTAGAAAACTGGGCAAAATTTAGTTGCCAGTTCCCGTGTTTTGAGGCAACCATGTTAGTCTGGAGGTCTGGCCAACTTCCTGATCCATATACCTTTCACTGTGGTGATGAAGAATGATGCTACTTTTTGATTTTGCTCCTAGTTCCCTACTCTCAACTTGCAGTGTCTTTCTCTTACCAAATATTGTTCTCTTCTTAAAATGAACCAAGTTCCCTCTGATTTTCTTAAAATAAAGTCTTGCCTGACAACTCAGGTCACACTAGTCTATAACCCATTGTTTCTCTAGAGTTTAAAACCTTTTTTATTTTTTATTGATGTATGGTTGACATACTATAGCTGTTTCAGGTATATAACATAGTGATTCAACAATTATTACATTACAAAATGCTCACTACAATAAGTGTAGTTACCATCTGTCACCATATTACAATATTATTGACTGTATTTTCTATCCTGTACTCTTCATCCTTGTGACTTACTCAATTTTCAGCTGAAAGTTTGTACCTTTCTATCCCCTTCATCAATTTTCAAATTCATAAATTATTAACAAATTAAGCAATATATTGTGGGATCTTTCTGTGTCAGACAAAGATCTGTAAGTTGTTTCTCTCGGGGCAGAACAGTGTATCTGTTGCAGGCCATGGATCTAAACTAAATGGAAGTTCTTATGTTTGAAGCTTGAAAATCATGTGGAGGGAAAATCCAGTTCCTTGCACTGCTTCCCAACATTTTTCATGTTATGGCACGTTTAGAAAATGCTAATATTTGTACAGCACACTGGGTTAAATGAATGAGGCTGCCGATCAGCTGCCTGGGGGGCTCTGGCTGCTTCAACTGAGGGCATCACTATCTCGGCACACTTGTACCATATTTGCCACACTCCAGCTGGGAAGTTCTGCAATGAAGCAAACAGTTCTCGTATTAAACGGGTAGGGGTGTGGGGCTTATCTTGTTATGACATAATGGACAAAAGGGCCAAATATTAGATCCCTAAATAGATAAAAGAAAAATTATTCACAAAGAAGAGCTATGAGGAGGGAAATGTTTTTCTTGTCCTCTTAAAAGGAAATGTAATACACGAATCAATCTTTTTCAATAATACATACAGAAATACATTCTTTTACTTTACTACGCAATGTCAACATGAGGCAAACGACTTAAACTTGGTCAATACTATGTGCAATGGAGCCCCATGGCCTTGCGAAGGAAGGACAAACAGTGCTCTAAATTACCAGTATGCTGAGTCATTCTACATTTTCATTCCAGTTCAGGACAATAAGACGATGCTAGCAAGAGTCAATACTTGAATGCAAAGGTTTCTGATAGGGAAAATTACGGAATCAAGAAGATGACATAACCTTAAAAGTAATAATAACATTTATGTGGAGAATAACAACAGCTGGGAGAGCAAAAAGAACGCAGGGCTTTAGGCAGAATCTCCTGGGTTCAGTGCCTTTTGTGGGGGCTGAGGGGATGTGAATAAATACAAGAAGAGCTGGAAAACAGGAAAACGTAATTTGTTTTAAGGAGGGAAATTAGGTTTCTTTTAAAATAACTCATTTAAATCCAGTAGCTTTCATCCTTTGCTTAGAGAACACTAGTGATAAAATAAATACGTCAGCAGGCCTTGAGCAATTATACCAACAGATAAGAGAGATCAACACAAATGTTCAGGCTATGAAGTGCAGGATGAAGGAATAAAAGGGCAAAGCATTCTCCAAAAACTTTAAACTCTCATAATATATAAATTAAGTTTAAAAATAACTTAATTGAAGCTATTACCTTATCAAAAAACCTACTGAGCTTGACAGCATTGGAAGAACCTGCAGCTAGGTACCGTGGATTTGTGCAATCCTAGAAGATAAAACGTAAGATCCACATATGTCAGGAAACATCAGCTCCTTGTTAGTCACTACTGTTCCTGTTGCACTTTTCTATAGTAAAATGTTAGGCATAACACTCTCATGAAATATTCAAGCAATTTTCAAATTACAATGCACAAAGCTAAGCGGAAAGTACTAAAGGAAGATAAGGGCGCTTTTTGTCATTTATGCTATGATAGAGCACACTGAACCAATGTATTCACCATCAAATAATTCATAAAGGAAAAGAGGATTGCTAATCTTACTAATAAGAAAACCAAGACACTAATCATGTGACCTACCTACATTTACCCTAAAAGCAGAAATAGAGCCAATAGAAACAACACTTCATTTTTTAGTACGAGTTACTCAACAGCATCATCTAATCAAGTAGTATATAGTTCATACACAAAGCGGGAATCAGGAAAACAGGAGTTAGAGGAGCAAAAAACAAACAAAACAGTTGCTAGGGATTTCTCACTCATTGAATGCAAAGTACTACATCTCTTGGTAAGCCATAAAGATAATAATAAACAATAAATATACTTTTTGATAATAAAAAATAAACAGTAGGTTTATTATTAAGTAACAATCTATTACTATTTAACAGGATTTTGAAAAATAGGAAAAAAAATGGGGCCCAGAAGAGACAAAACAATTTGGAACATTACAATGAAATAACTAGTAAATTACAATAATCAGTAAAGATCTCAAAAGGTTTATTATTCTTTTCCTGGAATTCCAGTGTCAAGCTGCCTTTGCTTGTCATCATTAACTTGCCACCTCAAGAGACAGAGCACTTTGATTTTTACCTCAAATGCCACCTAAGGCCAAACTATAAGGGTATCAGACAGGCTCCTTTACAAAGATGGCATTTGTCTTTCAGTTGTAGATGGTCTATGTCCCTTGGGCAATTACTGCAATTACTGTTGCATTTATTCTGTTTTGTATGTAATCTCTAAACCCACATGATTCCTTTGTAGTAAACTGTGTAATAATCACCTCTTTCACTCATATATAACACTTCAAGACTCACATTTTTCATTTTGGCTGGAAACTATAATGCATTTTCCAAAACCACACCAAAAAAGAGACTATAACAAGCTTTTCAAAAATCATAGAATACTAGAAAAACCAGTAAATTAGCCAGAAAGTTCTGAATCTGAATATCTGTCCCAACATTTCTAGACTGTGTAGCATTGGTTAGGTTACTAAGCCTTTCAACTTGAGCTTACTAATTTGTGAAATGAAGATAACATAACAATACTTACCCCACAGGATTTTCGTGAAAGTTATATAAGATAATGCATGTCTGGCACATACATAGAAGATACTGAAATATTAGTTCTCTCTTCATTCTAAGAAAATGCTATCAGATTGAATTTTCAGGCACAAAAGCACCTAACATAATGAACGTTAATTCCATGTATGGGGTAAAGAGACTGAAACATCATCGTGGAAACTGTTGTACTTGAAAAAATGTATAAACACATTTATACAGCAGTTGGGGCATATGAGACACAAACCTTAGGTAGACTTATGTTAGACATGTTTTCCAAAATGGATATTGATTACATAGTCATCACAATGTCAAAAGACTTCACAGATGATTCAAGATAGAGCTATAGTGCTAAATACAAAAACTAAATCAAACAGCAAACAAAGCTTAATTCTAAGGCTCACGGTTTTACATTGACCAGGCTAGAGACACCCTATGATTTTAGGATGCCAATTTTAGAGTTGAAAGAGCCATCTGCCATTGACCACGGCTGGGGGCAAATACCAAAGATTAATAGCTTTAAAATAGCTTGTCAAAACTTGAGAAAGGAAGGGAAGGAAACTAGGGAAGATGCTTCAATATAATCACTTTGAAGTAAACACACAACAGAGAAAATCTGTCCTAGACACAATAAGCCTAACAGGATTTTAAAAAATAAGTAATCATTTCCCTTTTTATAATTTAAACCAATTTACTTTTTTTCAGGCACAAGATAGTAACTTTGATTCCACCTTTGATATACACATTTATGTTGATTCTTACTTTTTAAAACAGCTTTAAGTGAATTCAATATTGTAACTAATATTGTTACATTACATTTTTACTTGAGGCTTAATATCTACTTGCTGAGTCTTTCTGACTGCTATCTCTTTTTGAAATTCCTATCAAATTTTCCTCCTCATTTTTCTGCCCTGAATCCTCAAAACCCTCTTGTTTCTGTTGTATTCTTGAAGCTGTACATTGATAACAGGGCAAAAGTATGCTGTATGTGTGAACTCTGTGGAGATCATGTGTGCCAAAGTACCACCACTTGAGTACCTTTATAACTTGTTAACAATTAAAAGATGGTGCTGCCTTTGCAAGTAAAGTAGGAAAAATACATACCTGGGTGATTGTCACAAAAACCCACAGGCACTACAAACAGATAGATTCCAAAATATATGGAAAGTAATTACTGGAACAAATTAAGTATATTCAATGGCAAATTTCCCACTGGAAATAATGTTGATACAAAGTAACTTCAACACTTCTGCAACAAGGATATTATATATCCTCTGTAGCAGAAATCCTCTGAAATATCATGGTCCAGTTCAACTAGCTGGGGCATTGACAGTGAATATTCCATGGTGGCAGGTGAGAAAAATAAGGCACCCCACCACAAAGCAGAATGTAAAAATAACAGAATGGCAGGCAGAAGTGGATTCAGTTATGGGGTAGAGGTTGGTTTGAACCAACCAGTGTTCACAACTGTTGATTTGGAGTAAGGGCATCAGAATGACCTGAGTCATTAGCTAAAACTATAGAGCCCTGGTCCTCCTGTCAGATATTATGAATAAAAAGCTCCAGTGGTGGAACACTTACTCAAATTTTTTCACAGCTACATTGATAGTATAAATATATAGTCAGGTTTGGGTAATTAGTGATTTAGATGATTTCTAAGAGCTTTTTCAGTTCCAAGATTCTAAACGTTAGTTGGAGAATAATTAAGTGGAAGACAGGCTCAATTGCAGAGCACTGGCTCTGGAGTCAGAGTGCCTGGTTTGACCTGTCTGTATAACCACGGCTTAGTTACCTCTCTCTGGTTCTAATATTCATCTTTAAAATGGAGTTAATTACAGTACCTACCTTACAGTGTTGATGTGAAGACAAACATGAGATAATGTACATAAAACACTAGAATGGTACGTGGCATGTAATAAATGCTTAGTAAATTACAGTCATTATTATTTAAAAAAATTTTTTTAATGTTTATTTATTTATTTTTTGAGAGAGAGACAGAAACAACGTGAGCAGGGGTGGGTCAGAGAGAGAGGGAGACAGAATCCAAAGCAGGCTCCAGGCTCTGAGCTGTCAGCAGAGCCCAACGCAGGGCTTGAACTCCTGAACTATGAGATTATGACCTGAGCCAAAGTCAGACACTTAACCAACTGACCTACTCAGGAGCCCCTAGTCATTAGTATTATTAAACCACAACTAGCACCATATGTCTGGAATTGCCAGTGCACTGAATATGTTGCAGAAATCCTACTTGTGAACAATGACATATAAACCATGACTGAAGCTGCTGGCCAGGATCCTTCTCTGGGCAACATTATCTGGCTTATGTGAAAACTTCTCTTAGCCTTTTTAGCATCCAGTTCAAATTGAGCTAAATTTTCTCAGGAAGAAACTCAGTGCTCTGTATACATACAAGTTTGTATTAATTACTGCTCATGAAGCACTCCTAGTTTCCACAGTTTGTAGTTTTCTCATTTATCTATTTCTTTGCTCTTGAAGTTAAAGTCTGTAGTTTAAGAAGCTGAGAGGCTTTTCTAAAGCAAGAAGAATCAAATGTCAGTGACCTTTGTTACCTTAATTTAATTATTTTGATTTTGGTATGATCTTAAAAAATCTTTTCAAGAAAAAGCCCAGGGTTTACATTATTCATAGAACAAAGTTTGAACATTCCCACAGATCAGCATATAAGAAGGTTGAGTTGACTGTTCCCTATCTGACAGTCTATGTTGATTCCAATTTTCACTACATATTGGATCAGAACCCAAATGACTGATAGTAAGTATAAAGCTTCTTTCATGAGAATATATGACCTAAGTCTTCAATTTTGGCTTTGCCTAACGATAACACAAAAATGCATGAGTGAAAACACATACCAGATTAATTTCCTCTGCATTGAAATCCTCAGCTAGGAAAGCAGTCCTAGTTAAAACTTCATGGCGCTTGCCTTCATGAATCTGATCCAGTTTAGTCCCTATTACCAACAGTGGGATTTGGTTGTCAGCAAATTGTTCCCGGTCATAATCCCTGTAACAAATAATAATGAAGAGGTGAACAGAATTTACCCTTCTGATGTAGATGTGTAATGTTTAAATGTAAGTAGCTTACACTATTTTACTGAGATTTCACTGACTCTCGCTTACCCATCACCTATAAACCTACTTTTCTCCCAATTTCTTCCAAATACTTATTCATTTATCAATCCATCCTCACCATCTATAGACTTCCAACTGTTCATCTAACTACTCAAATTTTGTTTCCATGAATCTTTATAGACTACTTGAATAACTGAATGTCCACCAGGTATATGAAAGTAGGTTAACTTGACCTCTCCCAAAGTTCTGTATTCTCAGGCTAACAGTCAGGAATTTTTCTAGGTAGATGCACAGAGTGAATTCAAACCTCAATGGAATGAAAATGCAAGAACCTAGCATGGCACTCAAACCTTTTGCCAGAGGGGAAAATGAAAAGCTTCTGGGCATGCATAAGCTCTATACCTACCATACATATTTTTATCTATGAATAGTAAAGAAAAATAGATCATTTCAGGAAAATAAGAAACAAGGGTGCTGAAGGCCAGAAAAATTGACCACAGATGATGCTATGCCTGGGACAAGATGGATTCAACAAATGGAAAAGGAAAAGAAACAGCTGAAATGCAAAACGAAAAGTAAAAGGAAAGAATTAAAAGCCAAATAGTTGTTTGTGCTGACACGAGAGTCATGGGAAAGAGAGGACAGACAATATGGATCACTCATGGTTAGTGGTCTTGGGTGACTGGCTATTACAATCCTTTTTTTTTTTCAATTTTTACCCAAAGGACAGAGTGGTGTTCCTTCTATTACTGAAAGGAATACAGAGCCAATGTTGTTCAATTAATTTAAATTCTATTCACATATGAGAAATAAAACAGACTTGGATTCCTGACATGTTATAAGCTCAATTTACAATAGTCAGCAAAATCTGGTTGCAGACACTTTATGACAGCAAATCAATATTGCACAATACAATCAATACAACCCAGTTGAGCCTAGCTTTTCTTCTTCCTTTGACATTATTTGTCTTTCTCTCTAAATAATCTAAACTGGGGGTGTATAGTATGTGTGTGCAAAATTACCACATCTTTTCGCCCTTCACAATAATCTTACAGTGCTTCAGTTACCACCTAGCCTTGGAACACAAGTGTTTTCAACTATGTAGCCTGCCATTCCTTAAAAATATTATCGTTGTATTTACTGCATCAAGCCAATAATAGCTTGAGTTCAAGGCCTTTGATTCTTCTTACCAACACTGACATTGATTTAGGAGACATAGGCCAAAATTGAAATCTGGTTTATTACAGAATAAAATTTTCAGAGTGTCCTCCTTTAGGAGTATTTCTGATACTAACTCTGGCTCACATACAAACTTTTGTATGTATTTTATCAGTCATCATTTTTGATAGACATCTATCTCTGTCACTTGCAGTCTTGCATAATCTTTGTACATTAATACTTGTACATATAACATACATACATCGCACATAATATATATGTTGTGCATCAACATATACATGTATTCTATATGTAACATAACATATGTATGATGCCATATACATTTAACTTATTCTCTTGTTTCTCTTTTTAGCTTTTCTTTTTATTCGCTTTTTTCATTGAATCTTATATCCAATTTGAAGTTTGATCTTGAAACCTCTTTTTTTTTAAAAAAAAAAAAACATTAGATAAAAAACAGATGGGGAATTTTATCATGGATGGATACGGCTGGTAACAAGTCAGCATCACAAAGAGACAGACAACCAGGTACTGTAATTATATGTATAATACCACTTAGGCAAAAACAAAAAACAAAAACCCCTGCATCTTTTAGACCATCTTTTTATATTTAACCATCATTTTAGAGAAGATTTAGGATTCAGAGAAACAAGGTAAACAGACATTACACGGATATAGTCAGCAAAATCCAGAATACAAGAAACTCTACAGGACAAGCAAACTATCTTTCACAAACTGCCAGAGTGCAAAAGAAAAAAAAAGGGGTGGGGGAAGGGGAATGTAAGATTAAAAGGTACTTAACAAACAAAATACAATGAATAGATCTTATCTAGATACTATTTTGAGCAAATCAACATTTATGAGACATATGGGGAATTAAAATAATATTTAATAGTAAGGAATCATTATTAAATTTTATGTGGAACAATTATATTTTGGTTATATTAAAAAAGTCCTTATCATTTAAAGTTATACACAGAAGTATATATAGACGATATGATACAATGCCTAGAATTTGCTTTGAAAAATAAATGGAGAGACATACTGTGTTCATGGATTGGAACATGCAACAAAATTTCTTTCCAATTTGATTTATAGATTAAATGCAATTCAATCAAAATCCAAGCTGAATTTTTGTCAATATAGAAAGTTGGTTTCAAATTTATATGGAAAAGCAAATGAACTAGAAGAGCTAACCAATTCTGAAAAAGGAACCACATTATATACTTTTAAGACTTACTATAATGTTATAATAATGAAGACAATGCCATATTGGTGAAGGGACAGACACACAGACCAATTGTACAGAATCAGAGAGTCTTGAAATAGAACCATATAAATATGGTCAACTGATTTTTGGCAAAGGAGTAAAAGCCATTCAACGGAGAAAGGATAATCTTCTGAACCAATGGTGTTGGAAAAACCGGACATTCATATACAAAAGTCAACTTCAATCAAAACCCCACACGTCATAACTTATTCAAACCAGGTCACAGATCTAAAGATAAACTTTCAACAACTAAGTTTCTAAAAGAAACAGGAGAAAACCTGTATAATCTGAGATTAGGCAAAGAGTTGTTAGACTTGATACCCAAAGCACAATATGTAAAAGAAAAAATTGAGAAATCAGACTGCATCAAGACGAAAAACTAATGCTTGAAAGATAACTGGTAAGAGAATAAAAAGACAATCTATAGACGGAGAGAAAAAAAATTTCGAATCAGACATCTTACAAAGTGTTATTGTGTTAGGTATATTCCTGTGATTGCTGTAACATTTCACACTAAAAGTGAAGTAATCTGGGCTTACCCATTTGTTACCAACACTCCAGTTGGCACCAAATCCCTGTTGAGAGCTTCCAATGACCAACGATACAAGTTTTGGGATGACTTCTTATTTGTTAAGTCATGTACTAAAATAATACCTAAAATAATCAAAGAAACTCATGTCAATACTCCAACAATTTCTCTTCACTTTACAACTGGCAAAGTGAGGCTAAGTAAATACAAGGTTGCTGAATAAACCTAGCATTCTAGGATGATTAACAAACACAGGCACAATTAATTTAAAATTTGCTCTACAAATTTCTACAAATCATTAATTACAAAATTTTCTTTGTCAGTTATATAACCCTTTTTAATTCTATAGGGGCTGGCAAAATGTCAGTAAACTTTTAGAATGTCTTTTCTGCTTTTCTTTATTAAACACTTGATGAGTGCTTCTTCTGCCTGGTCCTAACTATAGAACTACCTCATCAATGAAAGGAATCAAAACTATTTCAAGTATTTAAGAAATTATATTCCTACAAAAGCGAATTGTTTTGGCACTGTGCATAGTACCGTCATAGATATCACACATACGCCACTACTTAATAAAATATTAAATAATAAAAATTTATTAAAAATATATTTATTTAATTTGATATAATTGCTATTTTGCAGCTGACAAAATGTAAATCACCTGAGCCTAATTAACTCAAAAGTCTAATCTTTTAGTTCTTTGAATTAATGACTAGCTATGAAAGCTTGATATCTATGAGATACTTAGTTAATAGAGCAAAAGAACTATGTCACTAGAAGAAGGTAGGAAAAGCCAGTCAAAAAGTATGAATAGTAGAAAATAGGTGGACTTCTGAGAGATTGAGAAAAATAACAAAATGTAATGAGGTTCAGAAATACAATTAAATAGAATCAGGTATAGCAGACAAAAATGCAGAGCAGGTAGACAAAAGAGGAAAATGCATAGTAGAGTTTAGAGTATCATCACGTGGTTAGAAGACTACAGATTTTCAAACCCTCAACCATTTCCTATGTTACCTAGATTCTACTATGACGAGATGATGTGAAATTGATGATTCCTCTGTCTTCAAGATGTGAGATATGTCAATTTGAAAAAGAAGGGCAGAAAAGTTAGAACTATTTGGCTTCTCCGATTTTTACAGACATTTGTGCAAATAAGGTGCTTGTGCAAGTTACAGCTTGCTCAGATAAATCTGTATCCTCCTGGCATCTGGAACAAATAGAGAAATACAGATCTGACACTTGCCCTGTATTCAATTGTACTCACTCTACTTTCCTCAATACTGGGTTCTATTAGGCATTAAGGACACATGATACAGGATAGATTTATTTTTTTATTTTTTTTTAAATTTTTTTTTCAACATTTATTTATTTTTGGGACAGAGAGAGACAGAGCAAGAACGGGGGAGGGGCAGAGAGAGAGGGAGACACAGAATCGGAAACAGGCTCCAGGCTCGAGCCATCAGCCCAGAGCCTGACGCGAGGCTCGAACTCACGGACCGCGAGATCGTGACCTGGCTGAAGTCGGACGCTTAACCGACTGCGCCACCCAGGCGCCCCAATACAGGATAGATTTAAAAAGAGCTACCATTAAAGAATATAGCTAATATCTATTCAGCACTTATATGCTACACATTGTTCCTTATATGTGTTCTCTAATTTGATTTCAGAACATCCCTCATGTTAGGTAAGAATTATCATCTTCATTGTACACGTGTGGAAACTAAAGCTCAGAGAGGCTGAGCAACTTGCTCTAAATCACATGGTAAGTGAGTTAGGCAGAATTTGAACTCAGGTAATCTAACAGGTAATCTAACAGCAATCTAACAGCAGAATTTGAACTCAGGTAATCTAATCTGGGGGAAAGCAGAATTAAGTCAAAGGAGTGGCTTTTTCTCCTCTCCCTAACTTCCCAGATATAAATCTCAAAAACTTATGAGTGAGGCTTTTGGTTGGGAGATGCAAGGATTACAAAGGCCTAGATGAGCTATTAGCTGAATAGGGAGGAGTTTATTTTTGGAGGCTCTCTCTTTAAGGCTTTTGAGCTTTTAAGGACATTTGAGCACCCTTTTTCTTTATTTTTCAATGAGCTGAAAGTTCTTTCTTGGTAGATTATGGGCTATAAGGGCCACAGTGGGGCCCAAAGGAAAGAAGTCAGTGTGACAGTTAATCAGAATATGTTCTAACCTTCAAAAGGGGCACAGACACTTTACAGGTTTCCTTCAGGGACTGCCAGCCTAGTTCATCACAGTGGGAGAAAGGTAGGGTTTGAGGGAAGAAAGTAACTGTTAAGAGTAAAGACTGTGCATTTGAATGGAGTGATCCTTCTGCTCTGTTTCTTGAGAAACCAAGGATGGTAGATGGAGTAAAGAACCTTCAGTGCTTCTACCAAGAGAAATGTTCCAGAGCTAAGGTGAAAGAACATAAAAATTGGCCTTTCTTAACAGGGATTTCTTTTTAAACTTTAAGAAAGAGGAATATATCTCAGTTTTGTCATATATACAAATTAACATAATATATATTATTAACATAATATATATGCAACTATTTCAATAATATTCAAGGAAGAGACAAATCACTAATGAATAGTAGGTATAAAAAAGATAAATAAATATGGATTTAGATGGACTTCTTCAGGACTTAGTAAGTTCACAACTCAGAACTCCATAAAGTTTCTAGGATTTAAACGGTCTTTATTATGTATTTATAATTTTGATCTTAACCCTTTCTCAAAAGATCTAAATGGCAAAAGTGTTGTATATCCAAACCTGCTTTGCCAGATCAGAGTGGTAGCAACTTTGTCAAGTCATTTGATTGATATAATCCAAGTTTATCACTTGATTCTAGATCTAAACCAGGCTTCACTTCCTTCTCTTCTGTTCTCTAAGAAGTCACTGAACACTACACCAGTCTTACCTTACTGTTTTTCTCATTTATCTACATTCTATTAATATATGCCATTATCATGTATTTTCTTGCATGACAATATCATATATTAGTGTCACCATCTTATAACTGTTTTGTTTCATTTATGAATGTTTTGTTTCTTCAAATAGATTGTGACACTTCAGGTCTGAACGAACACAACTCATCCTGTATTTTATAGTATGTATTCAATGGCCATCTCTACTTCTTGTTGTAGTATCCACAACACCTTATGATATGGGAAGATAAGATATTGAAAGGGGGCTATAAGAACGAAGAAGGTACTGAATAATTGCAATGTTTACCTAATATTGAATGTGATCTAAGCATAGTATAAATGAGGTGCAATTAAGAGCTAAGCATCTACCAGAAGGAAAAGGGTGAGATGGCAAATCTTTTTTTTTTAATTTTTTTTTTTAATGTTTATTTACTTTTGAGAGAGAGAGAGGGAGAGACAGAACATGAACAGGGGAGGAGCACAGAGATAAGGACAGAGAATCAGAAGCAGGCTCCAGGCTCTGAGCTGTCAGCACAGAGCCCAACATGGGGCTCAAACTCACAAACTGTGAGACCATGACCTGAGCCGAAGCCGGACACTTAACTGACTGAGCCACCCAGGTGCCCCGTGAGACACCAAATCTTGTACATCAAAGACAAGTTGGGATTATATTTCACAGTAAAAGAAAAAAAAAAAGTGCTTTAAAGAAATGAACTAAGAAAGGGGCAGAAGAAAAAAAAAACTCTATAGGTAAATTATAGCTCTCAGTGGTTTAGTCCCTTGACACAGTAGGTGCTTTGTGCATTCCAGTTATGTCCTCGATTATACACCTCCACCTGGAAGTCTGCTCCAGGTATCTCTCTCTCTCAAAAATAAATAAACATTAAGAAAAAAATAAAATGTGATATGCAGACTTAAAGAGCTGTCAGTACATTAGATCTTCCTTAAAATAAGATGTGTCTAGCATCCCATAGCATATTCTATTATCTGATTATCTGTACTCCTAGACCATTAATATATAGTAGAAATAAAAAATGCTTTACCATTTACAGAGTTGTAGAACACTGCTCTTGTGCTTTTCACACTGCTGGCACTGCCCACAGAGCCTCCAACATCCCATAATTCTATATAGTAGGTCTTCTCTTCTGGGGTTCCTTCTTTGTAGTCATGAACCTAACAAATCAATCCATCAAAATAATTATTATAACCACTAAAGACACTAGGAGCACCCTCATTCCAGTTTAAAGCACTGGACATTCCGTTTCAGCATGGCTCTTTCGTATCATTCTCATACCACCTCTCTCTGATCACCACCTGTCTTTCAAGAGTCCTCCCTCTAATACTCTCTCATACAACAATCCTAACATTTACAGCTCTCCCTCCATTTCCAAATCTTCACTTCCTGTGGATAGATGCCATAATTCATCACTTCAGTCACTCCTTTGCCCCTCTCTTGCACTGTGTTCATCTGACCAAATTTCAACCTTGACTATATCCACCTTTTCTCCAATTCCATGCCTGTAACCCAGCTTAGCTGAATGTGAAACTCAGAAAAATACACATTCAAGCTGACTGGATTCATTTTAAATTCCAGTCTACCTTTGGGGCTGCCCTTTAATAAGTTTCATAGTCCATTTCCTCTTTTCCTTTCCTAGATAACTATTTCACAATTTCTCTTCTTTTTCAAATTTCCAAAATCTTTTCCCTATCCTTAAGAACAGGTAAGAACCTTGCTTCTTGAGACAGAAGCAATCGGAAGAGAACTTCGACAGCCTGTTCTTCACATATCTATCCACCTCCCCGCATCTGTGCCCATATAATCTGCTTTTCCTCCAGCCATTACAGAGAAACTCTGTGTCCCCAAGGCCAAATCCCCTTCTTCTTTATGCCTGAGATCCTATGTCCCTTTTCTTATCAAAGGTGTAGCTCTATCAATTCTCCTTTTTTATCATCAAATATTCCCTCTCTGTTGAATAAGTCCTATCAGCATACAAACATGCCATAATTTTTCCCATCTTAAAATAAGCTTCTCTTGAACTCAAGTCCTCTTCCAGCTACCATACCACTTCTCTATTCCTTTTTACAGCAAAAGTTCTCCAGAGTGGTGTCTATTCTCAAGTCTCTAATTCTTTTCCTTACATTCATTCTCTTTTGAACTCATTCCTGTCACACTTGTGCACCAATCACTCCACTAAAACATTCCTTATCAAGGTCACCAATGGCTTCCACATTGCTAAATCCAATGATCAACGAATGAGCAGTTTTCACCTTACCTTCCCAACCTATACAAATAATTACTCTTCGGCTTTGCAGTACATAGCTTCCAGGTTATTGCGCTCTCCTGGTTTTCTTCCCATTTCACTGGCTAATCCTTTTCAGTCTCCATTGGGGTGATCTTTACCTCCCTAATTGTTGGAGCATCCCAAGGTTTAGTTCTTGGATCTCTTTTCTTTATCAATACTGGCTCTCTTGACAACTTCATTTAATCTTATGATTTTAAATGTCATCATTATGTTGATGAATTCCAAATTTATATCCATCCTGGACTAGTCCCTTGAACTTCAGGCTACCATATCCACTAGACTACAATTTGGATGTCTAACAGGCACCTCAAATTTAACATATCTGAAAATAATTTCCTGATCTTCCTCTTAAGACTATTCTTCTCCCAGTAAAAGGCAATTCCATCCTTCCCGTTACTCAAAGGACCAAAAACTTAAGAGTGATCTTTAACTCATTTCATACTGCATATCTGATTTGTCAGAAAATCCTATTGCTTTTGTCTTAAAAATATATCAAAAATCAGTTCATTTCTCACCATCTCCACTCTTAGCATCCAGGTCAAAGCCTTGATACATCTCTTTGCCTGAATTAATGCAATCATCTCCTAAATGATCTCCCCACTACAGCCTTGCCTACTCATTTCTCCCCCCTTTGCACCCCTCTTCCCATTTGTTTTTCATATAGTAATTAGCGTGATCCTTTTAAAGGCAAGTTAGATCACATCCCCTTCTGCTAAAAACCCTCCAGGAGACATTCTTAGAGTAAACTCTAAAGTCTCTCCTTCCTCAGGAGCACCTAGGTGGCTTAGTTGGTTAAGCATCAGACTTCAGCGTAGGTCATGACCTCACAGTTTGTGAGTTTGAGCCCCATGTCGGGCTCTGTGCTGATGCTCAGAACCTGGAGCCTGCTTCAGATTCTGTGTCTCCCTCTCTCTGTGCCTCCTCCACTCACACTCTGTGTCTCTCTCTCTCTCCTTTTCTCTCAAAAATAAACATTAATAAAAAAAATAAAGTCTCGCCCTTTCTCATGATCTAGACTCTACAGCCATTTATTGACTATACTATATAACTATTCAGAAATAGATTCTGATATATGGGAACTATATGTATTAGAATATAGCTAAGAGCCAGAGTATAGTGTGGTGGTTGGGAGGTGTGCCTCAGAATCTTCCAAGAATTTTTAAAAAAATATATGTTCCAACAAAAGGAAATATAAGCAAGTGGAACTACATCAAATGAAAGAGCTTCTACACAGCAAAGGAAACCATCAAAAAAGTGAAAAGGCAATCTATGGAATGGGAGAAAATACATGCCCATCATATATCTGATAGGGGTTAATGTCCAAAATATATAAGAACGCACACAACTAAATAGCAAAAAAACAAGCAATCTGATTTAAATAGATCAAAGGAACTGAAGAGACATTTTTCCAAAAAAAGACATACAATGGCCAACAAGTACATGAATAAGTGCTCGACATCACTAATCAGGGAAATACAAATCAAAAACTACAATGAGGTATCACCTCACACCCGTTAGAATGGCTGTCATAAAAAAGACAAGAGATCAGGTGCCTGGGTGGCTCAATTAGTTAAGCATCTGACTATTGACTTTGGCTCAGGTCATGATCTCAAGGTTCGTGGGTTTGAGCCCCATGTCCGGCTCTGCACTGACAGTGTGGAGCCTGCCTGGGATTCATTCTCTCTCTCTCTCTCTCTCTCTCTCTCTCTCTGCCCCTCTCTTGATCTTTCTCTCAAAATTAAAAAAAATTTAAAAACAAAAAAAGATAAGAGATAACAAGTGTGGGCAAGGATGTGGATGAAAAAAAGCTCTTGTGCACTGCTGGTAGGAATGTATATTAGTACAACGACTATGAAAAACAGTATGGAAGTTCCTTAAAAAATTAAAAATAAAACTAAACTACCACATAATCCAGTAATCCCACTTCTGGGGATTTATTCAAAAGAAATGAAAACAGGATATTGAAGAGATATCTGGACTCTCATGTTCACTGCACAATAGCCAAGGTATGAAAACAATCTAAGTGCATGTCAATCAATGGATGATTGACAAAGAAGCTTTGGTGTGTACATACACATACACAGACACTGGAATATTATTCAGCCAGGAGGAAAGGAAATCCTGCTGTTTGCAAATACATAGATGGGCCTCAAGGGAATTACGCTAAGTGAAAAGAGTCAGATAAAGACAAATCGTGCATGGCACTACTTACATGTGGAATCTAAATAAAAAGTCAAACTTCTAGAAACAGACAGTAGAAATGTAGTTGCCAGGAGTTGGGAATGGGTAAAGATTGGGAAAAAGGTACAGAGTTTATAAGATGAATAGATCTTAGGATCTAATTTAAAACATGGTAACTATAATTGATAACTTTGTATTATATAACTGAAATAAGCTAAGAGAGTAGAACTTAAATGTTCCAAATAAATACATAAATAAATAAGCGAGCAAGTACGTAACAGATGTGTTAACTACGTAGATGAGAAGAATCTTTTCATGATGTCTATCAAATCACCAACGATATACACTTTAAATATCTTACAATTTTATGTGTTAATTATACCTTGGTAACAATGAAAAAAAAGAGAGAAAAAAGTCCTTAAAGAAAAAAAAAAAA